GCGCCGGCCTGGAGCAGCTTCTCGCCCTGCGTAGGCCGAAGCAGCTGCTGCCCGGTGGCCCACGACGTGCCCAGCGCCTCGCCGACGTCGGCGCGGCACGGGAGGATGGGCTCCGAGAGCCGCATCCGGCAACTTGAGACCAGCCCAGAGGGAAGCGCCTTGGGAGACGCGAGCCGACTCGCGTTGCTGCCCTGCACGGCGGACGCCGCGCGGAGCGTCGCCGCCCGCGTGCCAGTGGGGTGCGCCGTGGCGCTCGCGCGGACAGTCGCGGTCACGCCCGACGAAGGGTCGGCGACCACGTCGCTGTCAGCGCCGGGACTGGAGGTACTGCCCAGTAGGAGGCCGGGTGGGGAGGAGCCGCTCCCACCGTCGGTGCCGACGCGCCCCTTGCCCGCGTGGAGCTGTGCGGCGAGCCCATGCTCTTCGCCGTTGTCTTCAGCCCCGCCGACGGCGAGTGTCGCCTCGACAGCGGCCGTTGAAGGGGCGGTCTCAGCGCCAATGAGCTCGGACGCGCTCGAGGGGTGCGCAAAGGCCTGCACCGTCCGCCCCTTCCGTCCGATGATCGCGCCGTGCGTGCCGGCGCTCTGGAGCGAGCGCTGGGTGCGGCGCGCTGTCGAGAGCGCCGCCTCCGTCGCCTGCCGGCTGCTTGCGCCGCCGCCGCCAGAGCCGCCGCTGCCGCCGCCGGAGGCGCCATAGCCACCGCCGCAGCCGCCGGCACGGCCGCCGCTGAGCCACTGGCTCCGGCCGTGATCCGTGTCGCCCGCGATGGGGCCGCTGGCGGTCATGGCCGCCGCCGCGCCACGCTCGTGGGCGAGGGGCAGCACGGCCGCCGTCAGGACGGCGCCCTCCGCCGCGTTCATCTGCGACAGGTCCGCGCAAGCCATGCGCTCAGAGCGCAGCCGGCCCTGCTGCGTCACCGTCACTAAGGTGCTGATCTTGTCGACGATGGCGCGCACGAAGCCGCGCGCGCCGGCCTGGAGCAGCTTCTCGCCCTGCGTAGGCCGAAGCAGCTGCTGCCCGGCGGCCCACGACGTGCCCAGCGCCTCGCCGACGTCGGCGCGGCACGGGAGGATGGGCTCTGAGAGCCGCATCCGGCAACTTGAGACCAGCCCAGAGGGAAGCGCCTTGGGAGACGCGAGCCGACTCGCGTTGCTGCCCTGCACGGCGGACGCCGCACGGGCCGTCGCCGCCCGCGTGCCAGTGGGGTGCGCCGTGGCGCTCGCGCGGACAGTCGCGGTCACGCCCGACAAAGGGTCGGCGACCACGTCGCTGTCAGCGCCGGGACTAGAGGTACTGCCCAGTAGGAGGCCGGGTGGGGAGGAGCCACTCCCACCGCCGGTGCCGACGCGCCCCTTGCCCGCGTGGAGCTGTGCGGCGAGGCCATGCTCTTCGCCGTTGTCTTCAGCCCCGCCGACGGCGAGGTTCGCCTCGACAGCGGCCGTTGAAGGTGCGGTCTCAGCGCCAATGAGCTCGACCGCGCTCGAGGGGTGCGCAAAGGCCTGCACCGTCCGCCCCTTCCGTCCGATGATCGCGCCGTGCGTGCCGGCGCTCTGGAGCGAGCGCTGGGTGCGGCGCGCTGTCGAGAGCGCCGCCTCCGTCGCCTGCCGGCTGCTTGCGCCGCCGCCGCCAGAGCCGCCGCTGCCGCCGCCGGAGCCGCCATAGCCACCGCCGCAGCCGCCGGCACGGCCACCGCTGAGCCACTGGCTGAGGTCGAACCGGCCGTGATCCGTGTCGCCCGCGATGGGGCCGCTGGCGGTCATGGCCGCCGCCGCGCCACGCTCGTGGGCGAGGGGCAGCACGGCCGCCGTCAGGACGGCGCCCTCCGCCGCGTTCATCTGCGACAGGTCCGCGCAAGCCATGCGCTCAGAGCGCAGCCGGCCCTGCTGCGTCACCGTCACTAAGGTGCTGATCTTGTCGACGATGGCGCGCACGAAGCCGCGCGCGCCGGCCTGGAGCAGCTTCTCGCCCTGCGTAGGCCGAAGCAGCTGCTGCCCGGTGGCCCACGACGTGCCACGCGCCTCGCCAACGTCGGCGCGGCACGGGAGGGTGGGCTCTGAGAGCCGCATCCGGCAACTTGAGACCAGCCCAGAGGGAAGCGCCTTGGGAGACGCGAGCCGACTCGCGTTGCTGCCCTGCACGGCGGACGCCGCGCGGAGCGTCGCCGCCCGCGAGCCAGTGGGGTGCGCCGTGGCGCTCGCGGGGACAGTCGCGGTCACGCCCGACGAAGGGTCGGCGACCACGTCGCTGTCAGCGCCGGGACTAGAGGTACTGCCCAGTAGGAGGCCGGGTGGGGAGGAGCCGCTCCCACCGCCGGTGCCGACGCGCCCCTTGCCCGCGTGGAGCTGTGCGGCGAGGCCGTGCTCTTCGCCGTTGTCTTCAGCCCCGCCGACGGCGAGGTTCGCCTCGACAGCGGCCGTTGAAGGGGCGGTCTCAGCGCCAATGAGCTCGGACGCGCTCGAGGGGTGCGCAAAGGCCTGCACCGTCCGCCCCTTCCGTCCGATGATCGCGCCGTGCGTGCCGGCGCTCTGGAGCGAGCGCTGGGTGCGGCGCGCTGTCGAGACCGCCGCCTCCGTCGCCTGCCGGCTGCTTGCGCCGCCGCCGCCAGAGCCGCCGCTGCCGCCGCCGGAGCCGCCATAGCCGCCGCCGCAACCGCCGCCGGCGCGGCCGCGGCTGAGCCACTGGCTGAGGTCCCGGCCGTGATCCGTGTCGCCCGCGATGGGGCCGCTGGCGGTCATGGCCGCCGCCGCGCCACACTCGTGGGCGAAGGGCAGCACGGCCGCCGTCAGGACGGCGCCCTCCGCCGCGTTCATCTGCGACAGGTCCGCGCAAGCCATGCGCTCAGAGCGCAGCCGGCCCTGCTGCGTCACCGTCACTAAGGTGCTGATCTTGTCGACGATGGCGCGCACGAAGCCGCGCGCGCCGGCCTGGAGCAGCTTCTCGCCCTGCGTAGGCCGAAGCAGCTGCTGCCCGGTGGCCCACGACGTGCCCAGCGCCTCGCCGACGTCGGCGCGGCACGGGAGGATGGGCTCTGAGAGCCGCATCCGGCAACTTGAGACCAGCCCAGAGGGAAGCGCCTTGGGAGACGCGAGCCGACTCGTGTTGCTGCCCTGCACGGCGGACGCCGCGCGGAGCGTCGCCGCCCGCGAGCCAGTGGGGTGCGCCGTGGCGCTCGCGCGGACAGTCGCGGTCACGCCCGACAAAGGGTCGGCGACCACGTCGCTGTCAGCGCCGGGACTGGAGGTACTGCCCAGTAGGAGGCCGGGTGGGGAGGAGCCACTCCCACCGCCGGTGCCGACGCGCCCCTTGCTCGCGTGGAGCTGTGCGGCGAGGCCGTGCTCTTCGCCGTTGTTGTCATCAGCCCCGCCGACGGCGAGGTTCGCCTCGACAGCGGCCGTTGAAGGGGCGGTCTCAGCGCCAATGAGCTCGGACGCGCTCGAGGGGTGCGCAAAGGCCTGCACCTTCCGCCCCTTCCGTCCGATGATCGCGCCGTGCGTGCCGGCGCTCTGGAGCGAGCGCTGGGTGCGGCGCGCTGTCGAGAGCGCCGCCTCCGTCGCCTGCCGGCTGCTTGCGCCGCCGCCGCCAGAGCCGCCGCTGCCGCCGCCGGAGCCGCCATAGCAGCCGCCGCAACCGACGCCCGGCCGGCCGCGGATGAGCCACTGGCTGACGCCCCGGCCGTGATCCGTGTCCCTCCGCGATGGGGCCCCCTTGCCGGTTTAATGGCCGTCCGCCTCGCCCATGTTTCGTTGGGCCAAAGGGCCAGTATCCGGCCGCCTGTTCAGGTAAGGGCCGCCCTTTCGGCCCGCCTTTTC